GCATGTTTTTTTTTTCGTTTAAGTAGACCCACCCAGTCCTTCAGAGTAAGGAAACAAAAGAAGTAAAAATAAAAAATAAAAAAATAAATAAAAAAGACGGGCACACACACGCTCACGCTCACGCGGAGACGCACCGCACATCAACATTCCGGCTGCCAAATCCTGCGGTTCCAATGGCAGCCATCATATACTCAAGCCATGTGCGGTGGGCGGTGCCTCCTCCACTACGGTCACTTCCCTAATCTAATCGGCCTTCGCTCTTGACGCCTTTCCCACTTCGCCGGCAGCTTCCAGTAGAGCAGTCGCCCTTTGCTCCCTGTGCGTTTGGCGAGGACAACTTGCCGCCGCCAGTGGGAACAATTTTCTTCGGGCAAAGCCTCCCCGTGATGCGGTCCTTGGCCGACATCAGGAGTGAGTGCAGGTATCATAGCATCCTTGCCTGCGGATCTCCTTAGTTTGTTATTCAATAACAAAACACGAAAGGAAAAGGCGGAGACAGATGGACGAAACAAAGCCGGCAAGCAGGAATACAGCATATATAGAAAACCACATGGGCATTGCCCGCTTTACAGTACTGGGGTACATGTTCTTTCTGATCTGTTTGTTTGGTTGGTTCTCACTTTCGCTGCCGCCTTCTCCCGCGCTCTCCCGCGTTGCGCAGCTAGAGCTCGTGGTACACGAAATTTTCATCAATGCTGATCAGGCTTTGCAAAGAGGTACAGTTGTGGCTCAAGCGAAGGTGATCAATGCCACTTCCCACCGCCCACTCCCGCTTGATTGCGGCTAAATCGCTTTCCGGTGCGACCTCCACAACATCGTCCCCATCGTCATTGTCGTCGTGGTCGTCGCCCTGCCAGTGACCGTCGGGTCCTGGCGCCGGTTGCTGCAGCGTGTGGCTGTGGTAGTCGAACTCACGGCTGGAAACAACCCGGGCCAAGAGATTCAGCTGGTAGTCCAGACTTCGGGCGTCCACGGAGCCCTGTGGCGCCGTCAAGGACTCACAGCGGAGTTCCTTCTCCCGCAAGGCGCTTCGCAGCTTCTCCTGCTTCATGCTCACAACGTCGCCCGGCTCCGTGATGACAGTGACGGTGTCCGGCTCTTTTTTCGAAAGGTCGTCCGGCCGAAATTCCATGATGCGGCACGTGTATCCCTGATCCACAAGAAACGCTGTGCGGTGTGCCGCGTAGGCCATCTCCAGCGTGTCTGTGCTAATGATGGTGTAGAACCACGCGTCCACCACCTTGCCGTTACTGGCCCTCGCCTTGGGGCGCAAAATCCTCCCGAGGCGCTGCGCCTCCTGTCGTCGGCTTCCACCGTGACTGGAGACTTGTATCACCACGTTGGCGCTCGGGAGGTTGACACTGACGTCACCCACGCGCGACAAGCAGATGACGTTTAACTTCGAGGTGCTCTGAAAATCAGAAAAAATCATTAATCGTTCACGATGCGGCGTTTCCCCACATATAACAGGGGCACGAAGAAGACTCCCGTACTCCTTAAGCAGCAGAAGATGGTCGCAAAACACGAGTATCTTTGACGATTCCGCGACGTGCCTGCGCACAAGTTCGGCAACACAGAGCATCTTGTTCGGGTTTGCGGCGGCCAGCATGACAAGTAGCGGCATTTTCCGCTGCTGCAGTGCGCGGTCCTCGCCGCTGCGCTGCATATACTCAAGACTAAACTGCTTTGTAAGCGGCGCCAACACCTCGATGCAGGTGACATTCGCCAGATAGCCGCTTGACGCCAGCGTCTCCCACGACACGTCGTAAAGCTTCGGTCCGACAAGGTGAAACAGGTCCCGGATTTTCGCGTCCTCGCGGACATAGGTGGCGGTTAGCCCCACCACACCCTTGGCATCGACAAGGCCCAAGCTCTCCTTGTACGCCTCCGCCGGCATGACGTGGACCTCATCCATAATGAGGAGACCATAGGGCTGAAAGAGCTTCTCCTTTGGATTGGGGCGTCGTCTCTTCTGCGGTCGGGCATCTGTAGACCCAATTGCGCGTCCCGCATGCTGCCGCATCTGCGCCCGGTGTGCCGTCACCAGCATGCTGTACGTCGTGAGCACAATGTCGGTGTCTTCTGTGATCGGGTCCTTTTGTTTTCCAGTCAAACAGGCAATGCGTGCGGCTCCCTCCAACGTCGACCGATGCCTTTCAGCGGCAGTCATTTCATCGCCGGTGCCAGGGGCGCAGATGCTGGCAAATTCTAAAATCTGATTCCTCCACTGTTCAACGCTCACGCTTCCCGCGCAGAGGATGAGGGTCGGCTTCCTCACCTTGCACAAAAGCATAATTCCCACAAGCGTCTTGCCCGCGCCGCACGGCAGCACAATGCAGCCGCTTCGCAGTGAACCCTCCGTCGCCGCGGCGTTGACGGCGTCAACTTGGTACGGCCGCGGTTTCGCCTGCGTCTTCAGCACGACGTGGATGTTGCGAATGCCGTCGTCCGCCTCGTAGTCGTACTGCTGCTGCAGCGGAAATCCAAGAAAAACGCAACGCTCCGCCACCAGCCGTGCGACGGCGCGACTCCTCAGCATGAGAAGAGAGCGTGCGGCGGCAGGCACAAGCTTGGGCGGTTCGGCGCACAGCGACCGCACCACCGGATCGGCGAGAAGCGCCTCCGCCGTTTCAACGTTTTCGCACTCCACAAATGTGCGCGCGTCGTCAATCACAATGCGAGCCAAATTGTACCGGCTCATACACATCTCCACGAAGCCGCAAACGCGAGCCCGCCGCGAGTCACCCCCTTCGTCGCAGAAGCCGTAGACGTAGGTGTCCAAAAAGTTCACCACCTCCGACGCTGCGACGCTGGCGGAGACGGCCGTTCCCAACGAGAAGGGTGTCATGCGGTACTCGTGCATCAGCGCGGGCCGCGAGGTCGGCTCCGCAATGGTCGTGAGAAACGATCGGACCGCGTGAAACGCGGGGCGGAACGTCTCGGCGAGAAGCACCACGTACCCCTCCGCGGAGACGCGCTCCGCCAGGAAGAGGCACTGCATGATTCAACCCCAAAGCCCCCAGGACGTGCAGTCCGCCACACACTACATATAAACAGCGGAACTCTCTATGACGGTAGGAAGCGAAGAATAGCACCAACACACACACACACGCAGAAAGAGAAAAAAAAGGAGCAGATAGAAAGAAACAAAAATAAAGTACGCATGCATTGCCAGTCCGCACAAGAGGAATCGCCAACTTCCTCTTCGACACCGCGGAAGCTTTTAGTTGCTCGGTGCCTTTTTGTTATTCTTTTGGTTGTATTGATTAAAAAGTATCATGTGAAAAGAGAAAAAAAACATCAGAACAAATCAAGCGTGCTAAAACCAACCTACTCCTCCGGGTGCCAGGCGCCCTTGACGGCCCTGCTACCGCGGATGCGACCGGTGCGGCGGGCGGCGATGAGGCCGACCTTCTGGCCCGGCGGTGCGTGGCGCGAGACGGTCGACGGGTGGCCAATGTGCTGATGGTTACCACCACCGTGCGGGTGCTCCACGGGGTTGCGGGCAACACCACGCACCTTGGGCCAGCAGTTGCGCTTCCCACGGAAACGGTAGAAGGAGTTACCGGCCTTCAGCACGGGCTTCTCAATACGGCCACCACCGGCGATGATGCCAATCATGGCGCGGCAGGTGCTGGGGACGGTCTTCTTCTGCCCGCTCGGCAGCTTCAGGCGCGTGCGGCCCGTCTCGTGGTTGTGCGAGATGATGATGCAGTAGTCGCCCGAGGCGCGTGCGATGGTGCCGCGGTCGCCGACCTTCGCCTCCACGTTGCAGACGATGCACCCCTCCGTGNTCTGGCCGAGGGGCAGCNCGTTGCCGNTGGCAGCGGCGCCTTCNCGCCGCNGAGGCGG